GCCCTCGGCCTTGGCCTCTGGGTCCAAGAGATGGAGAGAGAAGAAGAAGAAGAAGAAGCAGAGGAGACGAGAGAATGGAGGAGGAGGAGGAGGAGGAGGGGGAGGAGGAGGTTCGGAGGAGCTCTATCGGGTTCCGGGTCGGATGTTTGCTAACGGGTCGAGTGATGCTGCCTGCCTCTTTACTCAGCAAGGGAAGAAGGGGACTAATCAGGACGCTATGATAGTGTGGGAGGTAAAACGACCCATTAATTTCACTTAATTATGGTTATCGTTTTTGTGATTTTTGGATGACCTCTTTTCTCTATTTGATGGTCGAAATTTGTATATAGACGCATTTGGGATGTGGGTTTTCTTTTGAGTTTATGTTTCGAGTTTTAATTGGAGGAAGTGGGCTTAGAAATTCCATGTTTTAGAATTTCGTTTTCGAGCTGGTATGATTTTTTTGTATGGAGAAAGTGATGTTTGAAGCTTCACAGTTGTACCCATTAAGAGAATTTATTTTTATTTACCTTTGCAGATGCTTATATTGCTTAGTGTTTTTAAACTTATCCAAGTTCTAGTATAAGTTTGTCGTTCGATGTGAGAGGAGAAGATATCTGTCGATGGAGAATTTGATTTTACTGGAGAATAATGATGGGAGGAAATGGTGCTTGGACTTTTCTTTTTCTTTTTTTCTCTCTTTTATGTATGTATGTGAAAGAATTAGATAGAAAATACTAGAGTATCAATTTCTTTAAGTTTTTGTGCAAATTAGTGGACAAGTTATCAGTATGGAGTTGATGGTTATTTTTTTTTTGGGGGTGGGGGGTTAGTTCATTGTCTTTCCCTCCTTTGTGTTAGAATAGAATTAATTTGTTGAGTTGTTTAAATGAATGAAATTTGATGAACTTGCAGTTTGATTTTCAGCAAATTTTCCATCCTTTGGTATCAACTCTATTTATGTTATGGTATGTTAGTCATTTGTAGGTATCATCTGGAAGATATTAGTTCTGTCATCATATAGAATACCCTCTATTGTAAGTTTCTGAATGACAGGGGAGAATTTTTTTTATGATTACTTGATAAGATAACAACTTCTAACATGCATCTTTTTTAGTTGAACGTGACTGTGCCGAAAATTACCCTGACATGAGCATGTTTGTTTCTCAGTTGTCCTCTTTGTGACAACTTTTTATTCACTACCAAAGATAATATTGCACCTAACAACTATTAATGGTTAGAAAACAGGTGGTGGTTAATGAAAGAGTACCACCTCACAAACACATCCCTTACCTCAGCTTCAACTGCTCCTCATTTGATGAAAATATAATAGATGAGTAGTCATTCACTTAAATAATCGTTGTAGCAATATATACCTTGCTTGTTTCAGATTCTTTCTACTACTACGTTGAGGTTGTGGATGTGTCCCCCCAAATTTTAGCGTCTGGTGTTAGGGGATTCAGGCATCTCGTACCTATAATCAAGCAACAAAAATAAAAGGGATCATTAAAAAAAAGGATTGTTAGATTCCATGTTTTAAACTTATTATTTCAGTAGCATGTGCTTAGACATTTGTTTGAGAAACATTGAGTTCGAACTGTTAGTTTCATTGATTCGGTGCAAGTGATGCTTTTAATGTTGTTTTTGAAGGGGTGCTATTTCAACAGGATCTTGTTAAAACCTTTTTTAAACCTTCACAATTGATATAAATTAGGTTTTTTATCTGTTTATATTTGGAAACATAAGTTAATAGTGTTAAAATAGCCTTCCATCATAATTGTTTTGCAGCTCTCAATAGTGTCTTGTGGACCATGTTCATGAGTTACTTGTACTTCTTAATGTTCCCCTCCACATACTCTAATGCCCCCTCCTGACCCACCCGTTCACCCACACCCACCCCCAGACCATAACACAGACGCACAACAAATATGCTCTTCTCTTCTCCTTACATCTTTAATTCCCTTTTACGAATGACCCCAAACTCATTACTTCTTATTGTCAATGAAAATCATTATATTTTTGTAATCTCCAGTGTATATGCACTAGTATATATTGTGCCTTTTTGGGAGGATACTACTTGTCAAACTTCTTGCTTTTTGTATGCTACTTTTTCAATTATTGTGATCATGTATTTTTTTGATGGATCATCAATGTTTAGCTTTGTTTTATTTTAAGTTTGCTTTTATCTTGTATAAATTACATGCATATACTTTAACTAAGTCTAGTGATGACCTGTTTTTCATTTATTATTTTATGCTCAAAGTTGAGCAAGTTTACTTTAGCCCATATGCCAATCTTGAAATAAAGGAGGGCAATTGCAACTTAAAGGTTTTTTAAACTTGGAGTTGCTTGGGTCTTAGAAAAAATAAAGAAAACTTCAGCTATCCTTGTTTCTGTGAAGATGTGAAATGTTGTCAATCTTTAAAATCGTTAATTATTGTATGAATATAACTCAATAAGCAGAAGTTCGTTCTGAAATTTCTGCTTGAAGAGGCGTTTTCAGTCTTTCCTCTTTGCAGAGAAGCGCATTTAGCATTTCCTGAAAAAGAATTGATCACACTAGATTAACGTCCTGCAGTTTAACAACGTGAAGAATGAAGTTTCCTATAACAACCTGGTCTAGAACATTGGTCGTATAACATTATCGATTACATTTGACCTATTTTCAACCAATGGGTATACATATTAATAGATAGCCCTGAATATTACCCTTGTGAACACCTTCAGGTATTCAATAATGGTATTTGGCTTTAGATAAATTCATCAATTTAGGAGTGGTCTACTTTTAAAAGAAGGTCAAATTATTCACTTCATGCCATAAGACTAGTTGTAAATTTAGGATCATGTACATGGACCCATTATGAAGCTCCCCTGCATGTTAAACTTGAAGCTAAAATTTAGACCTTGTGTATTCATAGATATCACTAGATAATTTCATATTTTGTGTTTTAGTAATAGTAGCGATAGATCAGTTAATGCCTAGTTGTTCTTGTTCCTGTTAGCCTTGTTATTTAATATCAGATAATATTTACCTAGAAGATTTAGTATGAAGTATTGTATGGCTAACAGAGTAACAGTGTATCAAGTAAACCTAGACAATTAACACTCCTTTTTTCTTCTGGGCTTTTAGGCCACACGGAGCGGCCTCCAATATAAACATGACTCGTGCAAAATAAATTTGGGGTAAATTAACATTTTTTAAATCGCAAATGCTTATATTTGGATGCAGGCCTGCAGCCACATGACGATCTGGTACCAATTTAGATACCCAAATGCTTAAGCTGATGGGGTGCAGGATAACATTATATATCAAGCAGACTAAGTCTTAACAATCTATATTGTTTACTAAAGACTTCCAATCTCAGTTTACTTCTATTTGAGTGTCCTTGGAGTTAAAAAGAAAACAAATAATAGAAAGCTAAAGGAAACAGTTCCAAGTTTCAAGCTTTACAAATTTCAAACTCTTATCTCAATTTAAACATCATATAATTGTCCTACATATGTCCAACTTCACAATTGGTTCTTATTATTTCTTAAAAAGATAAAGTTCCAATTATTTTCAAAAATTGTGAATGTTAGCGCTTTTGTTCAATCCTTTCTTCAATGCTATATAGTCTGTTGCTAGCTTGAACTTTAGTCATGCTCCCTTTGCCATAGATCTTGAGTTGACTCTATTGATAGACTGTTCCGAGTTATAATTCTCATCTGGTTGAGGTTCTTATTTTTGTGCCATCTGCTGTTAACTCCAACCTGCTCATTTAATTAATATAATTTTTTTTCTTTTATTTTGTTAAATGTATTTTTTACAGTTTCCTTTATCATGCTATATAGCTTCATTGAACTTGCCACATTCATACAGAAATCTATCTCTGAATAATCTTATAATTTATGTTTGTTGCTTAAGGGTTATTTTTCGTTCTCGTGGTTGTAGAATTTCACATTAAGAAGTGACACCATCTTTTGTGGTGTATTTGACGGTCACGGTCCATATGGGCATATGGTTGCCAAGAAAGTCAGAGACTCACTTCCTCTTAAGTTAACCACTGAATGGAAAACCACTGCTAGTGGTCAAGACAGTCCTCATCTGAATGGCAGCGCATCTGGCAGTATGAACTCTGAAGAGTCAGCATGTGCTAACATTGACGATGAGTTGTCAGAGCCCGTAGATGCTGATGAGAATACTAAGCTACCTGCTATGTATCCAATATTGAAGCAGTCTCTTCTGAAATCTTTCAAGTTGATGGATAAAGAGTTGAAGCTTCATCCTATGATTGATTGTTTCTGCAGTGGTACTACAGCTGTTACTGTGATAAAACAGGTAATGACTTCTATAGTCTACTTCCAAGTTTGACTTGTAGTTTTTTGAACATTGGTTTTTTGCCTTCGCCAATTTGCAGGCTATTTTAGTTTTTTGCAACTTGCACTTCTTCAGGGACAGGATCTTGTAATTGGGAATGTTGGAGACTCTAGAGCAATACTGGGTACACGAGATCAAAATAATAATTTGATTGCTGTCCAGCTGACTGTTGATTTGAAGCCCAATCTTCCAAGTACGTTACGTTCCTGCTCTTATCTCTTTTCAAAAGATCTCTTTGAAAGCAGTATTCTTTTGAGAACTAATATTTTCTTTGTGCTAGCTATTCTGAATTTCTTAAGTGAAAAAAAGGAAATGATTTGAATCCTTGAGCCATCGCAGGGAATTCTATTTTTATTTGTCAATAGAGATTTAAAGGCTTTCTTAAAGTGTGGCTCATGGTGATCTCATTGTCATTATATCCTTGGTCTTTGTCTATTTGTCATGGCTTGATTGCATTTAAATATTCTATAGTTTCTCCTACTTATATGCCCTCACTTGTTTTTGACAACACTTATATGCCCTAAAGTTTTTAAAACTTACAGTTATATACCTTCACTTTATTTAACAGCACATTTATACCCTAAAGTTTTTAAGACTTGCACTTTTATACCCTTAAGTTTTATAAGTGTGCACTTAAATACCGTCGGTTATGCAAACTTGAGGGTATTTAAGTGCAAGTTTTAAAAACTTGGGGTCTTTAAGTGCATGTTTTAAGAAATTTTAGGTTATTTAAGTGTGGATTTTTAAACTTTAGGGCAGGTAAGTGCTTTCAAAAAAGTGAAGTACTCCTATCGGGAAAAAAAGAAAGAAAAAAAGTGAAGTACAAGTTTTAAAAACTTTAGGGTATATAAGTGCTACCAGAGCGTATATAAGTGCAAGGTAGGGAAAACTATAGGCTATTTAAGTGCAATTAAGCCATTTGTCATTCCAGTTTATACAGAATTAAGATTTATAATATTTGATATTAATTATTTTTACATACAGGGGAAGCTGCCAGGATTCATCAATGCAAAGGAAGGGTTTTTGCCTTGCAAGATGAACCAGAAGTTGCACGTGTGTGGTTGCCAAATAGTGATTCTCCCGGTTTGGCTATGGCTAGAGCATTTGGAGACTTTTGCCTGAAGGATTATGGTTTGATCTCTGTGCCTGATATCTCCTATCGTCTTCTTACTGAGAAAGACGAGTTTATTGTTCTTGCAACTGATGGGGTAATCTCAACTGTTTATACTATGATATTCAGCGTTCTAAAATTGATAAATCTAGTCTTTCATTTTGGTTATTTAAGAATTTGGAAGACTTTTAAAAGTGGAAAAGTAAAATATCACTTTCAGCCATGCATTTTATGTCTTCTTGATTCGGGGACAAATTTATTTATTTTTATTTGCAGACTCTTTAAATGATGTAGGTCGATGTTAATATATTGACTTATAAAAATGGACACCCCCCAACATGGAATTATGATGTAAAGGTTTTGGCTCCAAATCCTTCCCAAAGGATTTACGTTTATCCATGAGAACAATAGTATACATTTCATCACTTATAGAGCTCAATGTAGAATTTGAATTGAATCCTGAATCTGTTAAAACAATTTTCTTGCTTTATTTTCCTTACCTATGAACATTACAAACTCATAGTTACAAGCTTATAATCAAATTCCTCTTACTTTTTAATTTTAATATCTATGTGCTGTATCTCATTCATATCCCTCACCCCCTGCCTTGGTCTTTCTGTTAGTACTTCCATCTAAAGTTTTTACTGCCACAAAGAGCTTTTGCCAAGGGCAAACACCATTCTTTCATGCTTATCATCATGATTTATGTAGAAAAAGCTCCAAGCTAATCATATTTTGATTTACGCAGATTTGGGATGTTCTCTCTAACAAGGAAGTCGCGGACATAGTAGCTTCAGCACCAACTCATGCAACTGCAGCACGAGCCCTCGTTGAATGTGCCGTCCGTGCATGGAGGTTCAAATTCCCCACATCCAAGATTGACGACTGTGCAGCTGTTTGTCTGTTTTTGGATCCCCAAGTCCAAGAGAGCAAACCCATCATAAAACCTCAAGGGCAACCCACGGACAAAGAAGAGGTGAACAATGATGCATCTCGGAGTTACATTTCCTCATTGGAGAACTCAAGTATGCATCATGGTGATGACGATGATGAGATTGTACCAGTATGTGAGGAGCCTATAATGGAGAAATTACCGGGGAGGTCAAATTCAACAAGGAGTCTTGCTGATTGCATGTTGATTTCAGAGGAAGAAGAATGGTCGGCTCTAGAAGGTGTTACTAGAGTGAACTCTCTTGTGAACCTTCCAAGATTCTTGGCCGGTGATAAAAGGTCTAGTAGCCAGAAAAAGCAGTTGTAGAAAGGACTAAAGAAATTCCAAAATTGGAGACTTCCCCCCCATCTTATGATAATTATTTGAACCTAGCATGCCGATGTCTGGTTTAGTTTCAAGACAGTATTGTTTTATGGTTGGTGAGGGAAGTCATTCTTCATAGGTTTCTTTAATATGTAGAAATCTTTTTTGTTTTGGAAGAAACCTATGAATTATGTCTTGCCTCCTGCTTGTAAGGAAAATGATAGTTATGAGACAATATTTTCATAGTGAATGTTTATGTTTCTTCTACATGATGTATGTTGTCTGATTTTGGACAGCAGTGATACGTTCCATGCTTTTCGTATGGTACTGTAGGTTTTCTGCCTAAACTCCAGAGGTCTCTGCTTCCTCTTATTTGTAACATTCCTTTGTAAATTCAAGTATTTGTATGGATTTGTTCTGTTCTGTATAGAACATGGAAAGGTGCTTTACTTCTAGTTTTCATGTGATTTGATTAATTCCAGAAAACTTTATTGTATTATATTTTCACTTAAAATACTTTATAGTTTTACTTTATAGTTTCACTCACTTAGCACTTACATACCCTCACTTCTTTCTCTTAGCATTGATATACTCTTAAGCAGGGGTGCTAAACCATATTTGTATTTGAGGAAATATCCGTAACCGTATCCGTTAGGATACGGATATGGTTACTCAAATCTATAACCGATAGAATATGGTTACAGATATGGTTTTGTAGTGAAATATCTGTATCCGTATCCGAAATATCTGAATACATATGAGTCATACTCTTATGATAGCTTCGATTCTTAGATTATGGATTTGTGATTAATTTTGATGATCAAGATGTCTAATCTTAACTTATCAATTATAATGAATATATTAACGAACTCTTTTGTATCATATGAACTATGTTTTTCTCCATACTAGCTAGTTTTCTCATATCCGTTTTGTACATGCATGCGCTCATATATCCGCATGTATATCCGTAACCGTATCCGATTTTAGCCGATATGGTTATGAATTTTTCTTACCGAGTTATATTCGTATTTGTATCCGTATCCGACATGGGTAAGCGGATATGGATATGGTAAGCATCATAGCTGAGCCGTATCCGGACCGAGTGCAACCCTCCTCTTAAGTTGTTTAAACTTGGCATGTACCCTCTATCATGCAAATCATGCAAACATAAATATTCTTTCACCCGAATATTACTCTATGATGCTTACAAACTAAGTATAGAGATTTCTACCATTAATATTTGTTAAATTTATCAATAGACCAATCCAAACTCTAAAAAAAAGTAGAATGAAGATAAATTTAAAATAGAATTTTATAGGTTTTACAGTAAATGGAACATATATTAATACTTAATAAGCTTTATAATTCAGTTGAATTTTTTTCATTTCTGCATGATTGGTAGTACTAACATGTCACTTTTAAATTACTTAGGGTATACTAATTAGCATAGCGCGGAAGTAATGAACCTCGAAATCTACCAAGGGTTGTTCTTTAAATCTACAAAGAACAATATTCGAATCCACGAAGAGAATATAATAAAGATGAATTTTATTGATGTAAAAGTTATCCATTAATTCTAGGGTTAACATGCCTCCTCTAAATAAAAAAAACACCTAATAAGACTAGAATTACAAAAAAAAAAAAAGAAAAGAAAAGAGAAAAGTATCAAATCCTATCCTAAAAAGGCTCCCTAGTCCCTATAATAGTAAAAATAAATTATCAATCAAAATTAAATTTGTTTCCTAGTCTAATTGACTCTAGCTTTATTATTAAAAATAAATAAAAGCTGACTCCATCTTTATTATTAAAAATAAATAAAAGCCAATTGTTTTTTGATTTCTGCCAAAAACTAGTGATACTAATGTGATTTCGGGAATTTGTTAATTTGGATGTCTTCATCTCATTGAGATAGATGATTTTTATATATAATATGTCAGAATCCGCCTTCCGAATTAACAAATATGGTTGTTTCTTTGCGAGCAAAATCAATAATTCATCTATATCTGCATTTGACTCATGAAAGTCTTACTTCTCCATGAATTTGCTTGTTATATGTCCTACATCAGTCTTCTTAAGTTGAAAGAAGCTTGACCCCGAGCTTATATTTGCTTGAATAGTAGCTTCCTCGAGAAATATTATTTATTCTCATGTGTCAAGCAACATTTGCCTTACATTTGACATTAATCTTTTCCCCTTATTCTTTTATCTCCTCGCCTAGGTCTCCTTCTGAATTAAACTTATGTATGAATTTTTCCCGCATCATGTTTATGTGACTGACATTATGAAGATCTATAGATGACATGAAAAACTCCTCCAAATCTTTTCATTGCTGCTTTTTATATTCTTGTTTCAGAAAATACATCTCAATCTTGTCAAAATCATTAACACTCTTTATTTCAAAAGAAGAATTTCTCTCACACTCTATACATAATTCTTTTAGCTCCTTTGCCTCGGGCCCTTCACCAAACAAGCCACACATATCATCATTTGCCTCACTCACCATTATAACATTTTTCTCCATCGGGGCAACATTAATATGTGTAATACCACTCACAATCTCTTTTGGAATATCATGCGCAATAGCCATATTCACTAACATATCACAATTAGCATTCGGAATCTCATGCACCTTGAGAGGGATCTCGATGGTGGCAGAATCTTCCTTTTTGGTTGTGAATGTCTTGTTATCTGACTTCTCCTTAGCAATCTCAGTCTTAAATGTCTCTGACTCTATGATTCGACATAATCGACGAAATCTTCTTTGTTGCTTCTTTGATGTTCTTCAAAAATCCAGACACTTGAACAAAGATGAATTGAGGTTTCTTAGTTTTGCCACAATCATAACCAATGTCAGATGTCTTTGTAAGATTATTTCACCTTAGTCGACATGGTACATCTAGAAAAGAAGGTGGAATGAGAACTTGAATAGAACAACAAAGGATCTTCATCATTGATGTTTTTGGAGAGTTCTCACATTAATTATGATTGTGGTAAAACTAAGAAACCTCAATCCATCTCTAAGAAAGACTCTGGATTTGTAAAGAACACTAAAATGGCAATAAAGAAAACTCCATGAGTTATGTCGATCATAGAACCAGAGGCATCTAAGACAGAGATTGCTAAGGCTAAAATCTTTTTAGTAGCGGAAAACGAGACACTCACAACCAAAAAGAAAGATTTTGTCGCCATCGAGATTCCTCTTGAGTTGCATAAGATTCCAATGCCAATCATGATATACTAGTGAAGATGGCTATCAGGCTGGATATTCCCACAAAGAGATTATGAGTGATATTACACATATTGATGTTGTCCTAGTAGAGGATGATATATTAGCGAGCGAGGCAATTGATGATACATGTGCCTTACTTGATGGAGGACATGAGACAAAAGAGATTAGAGAATTGTGTATAACCTCAAAATCCACTTAGGGTTGTTCTTTGATTCCATAAAGAGCGATCTTTGAATCCACGAAGAACTTCGGATCTACGAAGAGACTATAACAAAGAAGAATTTTATTGACAAAAAAGTTATCTATTAATTCTAGTGTTACTTGCCTCTTTTTAAGTAGAAAAAGAAAATAGACTCCTAATAAGACTAGAATTACAAAAAATAAAAAAAAATATCAAATCCTACCTTAAAAAAGTAGCAAATAATTATGAATCAAAATTGAATTTGTTTTCTAATCTAAATTGAGTCTAACTTTATTACTAAAAATAAATAAAAGCTGATTATTTTCATATTTCTGCCAAAAATAGGTGATACTGATGTAAATTTAGGAATTTGTTAATATGGATGACTTCATATCGTCGAGATAAGCGAATTTCATATATTATTATATGTTAGAACTCGCCTTCCGAATTGACAAACATGGTTATTTCTCTGCAGACAAGTTAATAATGCATCTGTATCCGCATTTGACTTGTGAAAGTCCCACTGCTTCATGAATTTGCTTGTTATGTATCCTACATCGCAAATTCTATGAAAAGCAAGCGAGAGTACATTGTTGCTCTAGTGAGTGAAAAAGTGTGAGGTATTTAAGTGCTGTTTAGCCTTAAAAATTGCAATTAGGCAAATTCCAGGGCAGTTACGTAAATGGGCTTTTATTGTGCTCAGCGTAGGGTTATACAGGTCATACAAGTCCGGACCCACATGGTCCTTACTTCTACAGCGGCCCACAAACTAATGTTCATCTTTCTCCTTTCCGCGTTTCTATTTCCGGTCCGCGTCGGCCTCTCCCCCAAAATAAAATCTCTGACGCTCTCTCTCCTTCTTCCCCCTCAAAAAGTAACATTAAAATTTAAAAAAAAAAACCCTAAAATCTCAGTCTCAAATCTAGAGAAAATCAATGGCGCTGAAGTTTCTGAACAAGAAAGGATGGCACACGGGGAGCCTCCGCAACATCGAGAACGTGTGGAAAGCGGAGCAGAAGCACAACGCCGAGCAAGCGAAGCTCGAGGAGCTCCGAAAGCAGATCCAGGAGGAGCGGGAGAAATCAGAGTTCAGGCAGCTCCAAGAACAGGCCGGCCTCGTCCCGTAATTCCAATCTCATCTCAGTTTTCGTCTCTTTTTAGTTTTTAGGGTTTTGAAAGGGGGAAGTGATTGTTTTTGTAATTTTTTTTTGGGGGTTTTGTTTCGATTTTTTTCAGGAGGCAGGAGAGGCTTGATTTTCTGTACGAGTCTGGGCTGGCTGTGGGGAAGGGATCTGAGGGGTTTAAAGCTCTCGAGGCCCCGGCTGCGGCAGCGACGACGTTGGCACCGGCCGAGGCCAGTTCTTCCAAGGTGTGGTTCTTTTTTCCCCCTTTTGCAAAATTTTGCGTGCGATTTTCCCCAGACAAATGGGATAGTTGGGGACTGTGGCTGTGCTAAGTGCTTGTGAAATTGGTTCTTTAATGTCACGAAAAGTAATCTTTGTGCGCAAGACGTATTAGATTGGAGGTGGCAGGGGAGAGAAAACAAGTTAATAGGAAGGAAGTACTTGAATGTATGTATGTGGCTTTAAACATCTACAGATCATGTAGGGTAGAACTTTTTATGAGCAATTTCCTGATTGAAGAATTATCACGTAACATTTCATTTGGGCTAATCAAACCAAGTCTTTAATCTACACATGGTTAGGGAAGAAGTGATTCTAGAATGCTACTTGACATTACAATACATAGTTAAAATAAGATTTTATAGAATGGCTATGTAACTAGGCAAGTTAATAGACCTGCTTGTTAGGAAATCAATCAGAAACATGCCCTGCATGCCCCCCAAAAATAAATAAATAAATAAAACTGTTTGTTGAAAGTTTGAAACAAGAACATAAGCTGGATAATATGTTATAAGTCAGGAAAAGCTATGAATTTATCCATTTGAGGTGTACGACTTGCTTAAATTGAGGATGCGAGAAAATCTCTTTAGATGATCTGCCTAAGTTGCATGGATACGGGTACGGTTACCGGTACAGGTGTAGTTACGGGTACGAGACACAACAAAATTGTAAAATGTAGGGTATAGGGACACAGCTATATATATATTGAAATTAATAATCCACATGAGATCATTATTGTTTTTTAATTCATATGTTATTAGAGTTAAATTTCCTATCACATTTCTAAGTTTCTTTTATAATGTTTATTATTATAAATCGGAAACTACTCATTTTTGAACAAGACACTCAAAAGACCCTTTCATAGTTTTGTACTTTTGGCAGTCTTATATGATCGTAGAATACCTATTAGATAAAGTGAAAATCTATTTGATGGTTGTAAGACCAACAATGCTTTATGGATTTAAATGTTATGGGTAATTAAAAAACATGTGCAAAAAATAAATGTAGCACTGTAGCAGAAATGAGAGGTTATGACGGTCTTGTGGATATACACTAAAAATCGAATAAAAAATGAGTGCATCTGTGGCTGGGAAATTAAAGGTTGCTCCTGTTTGAGGACAAAATGAGAGAATTAGCTGAGGTGGTTTGATCATAGACAACGGAGACCTCACACTGGGTAGAAAAAGTGATAATATTATACTTAATTGGCAAAGAGATCTAGATGGAGACCTAAAAGAACTTGGTTAGAAGCATTATAAAGGACACAATGAAGGTTAACTTGACGGAGAGATGGCCCAAAATAAAATGGAATGTAAGAATAGGATTTGACCCCGGAAATTTGGGATAAAGGCTTTGTTGTTGTTATGTGTTTAAGGTAGGAGAATCAGATCATTGTTGAAGCAGTGGCTCTAAGCCTAGGAGCAGACCGTATCAAACCTAATCTGAGGGACTTAAAAGTGTAGAGATGGCCAACACGAGAAGTACCCGTTAATAGACCAAAAAGACTTGCTTACCCAACGCTAGAAAGGTCACCATGAAGGCTTAATTGTCAGTTTTTTGACCTATCCTATTAGTTAATGCTATCACGGTCTAATAAACTTTAAGACCATCCTGCATTTGCTGAAGTCTGACGTTCTTGTTATCAGTAGCTTTTTTATATGATTTAACTTATTCTGATGTTGGTAAACTCTATTTTTTTATGTATACAATGTTATAGGCAGCAGCTCCAGGTGCTTTATTTGAAGACAAGCCTCAGTCAGCAAATGATGCATGGAGGAAACTCCACTCTGACCCCTTGCTGCTTATCCGACAGCGTGAGCAGGAAGCGCTTGCTCGGATTAAAAATAATCCTGTCCAGATGGCATTGATTCGGAAATCCGTAAGTCCTTTCATCAGTTTAAGCTTGTGTTGTGTAGATGCTTGGTCTTTAAACTTTGCATTAAAGTTTCAACGCAAGAGCTTATGTATAACCAACATCAAGCATTTTGACCTGATAGGCAGCTGCTAAACCTGCATTTAACAAAATAATATTAAGTTAATTACTTTCTAAGTGAACACACTCAAGTTTGCTCTTTGGCTTATTTTGAGCCTTAGAGATGACAATATTCCCTGTGGTAATTTATCATTTTATCATATGAAAATTCAGATGGTTGCGTCTTATCATACGAAAATTCAGAGGTATATGAGCATAAATTGCATAACTAGGCAAGTAACTCTATCTACAAGCCAAGTCATCGTTGAGGTTCTACAGCATTATCTTATCCTGCTCTTAGTTTCATGATACATCAGCTAAGAGTTGCCCAACTTACTATCAACTTGGCTTGTAAGTGGGGTTACTTGCCTGGTCGTGCAATTTAATGAATCCTCTTAGCCACCTCCAATTTGACGGGAAAATTCTTAAGAATGATGATGAAGTTCGATTAACAGTTGAAACATCATTCGAAATTTTTTCTTTAATAATAATATTATTGTTATTATTATTTTATTATTATTTTTTGGTGTGTTGCTGATTCCTGTCTTCATAGTTGATATATAACTCCATATTGTATGATTATAAAGTTCGATTAACTGTTGAAACATCATTTGAGCAAATTGTTTTCTTCTTTATTATTATTATTATTTATTTTGTGCGCATGTGCGTGTTACTGATTCCTGTCTTCATGGTTGATATGTAACTCCTGATGTTTCCTTCTAACTCCCTTGTTATGAAATATACTGTAGGCGTCAAAAAATGCTGAAAGATATCCAAATACAGCTCAAGAGGGAATCATCCAAAAAAGGCAGAAGAACACAAGTCTTGACTGTCTCGCCGTGCGAGACAGACTTGACTGTCTCGCCGCGCGAGACAGTCTTTACTGTCTCGCCGTGCGAGACAGTCTTTACTGTCTCGCGGGCGAGACAGACTTTTACTGTCTCGCCCACGCGAGACAGTCTTTGCTGTCTCGCCGTGCGAGACAGAATTTACTGTCTCGCACGTGAGACAGTTTTCAGATGGTCAAAACTACCTTTGCAACTGCCCTACACGTGGCCACTAACTGTTCAAGAACGCGAGACAGCAAACACTGTCTCGCCCGTCGAGACAGCAAAAGCTGTCTCGCGAACCTGTTTTCTGCCAACTGTTCTTGGAGGTTATAAATACCCTCCTAAGGCCATTTTTCCAGGGGGCTGATCATTGTGAGTACTTCAGAGCAATCCAGAGCAATCCAGAGCAGAGAGAGAGCAGAGGTCTTGAACTTTCGGCCACTCCTTGATAATCAGGCTTTGACTTGATTTCAAGAAGAACGACTATCTTACATCGATAAGATATCGTTTCAATTTCTCACTTCGATAAACGAAGTCAGAATCATAAACCCCTCACGATTCAATCAGAATCTGTGATTTGGTGGTCCACGAGTCAAAGCGCTCCCGGCACAGGCAAAGATCCCACGAAAGCAGTGATCCAAACAACGATCCTGCGTTTATTTTCTCAAGAGTTGTAATTTTTTTTTTGTTGTGTAAAAGAGTCTTATAAAAAGGCTGTTTTCTTTGAATTTATCAGTGTTTTCAAAGGCGCGCGCCTCATTGCGCCTCATGCGCCTCACGATGCGGGGCGATGACGAAGCGCCCCACATTTGATGCATCAGCGCCTCGCGTACCTCCGTACTTTGTGTAGGATGCATGTAGTATATTTCCTCATATAGTTTTGTTTGTTAACATTTCAATCGAGTCTTTATACTTGATATTCCATATCCCAAAAAGCAAAATAAATCCATTGGGCTTTTTTAATAACCTTCAATTGAGGACCATTACTAATCCTTTGTTTGGATATTAGTCTTGATTTAACATTTGATTTGAAAATTTATGAAATTTGCTACTATGTTGGGTGTTAGCATTAGAAATTAAGGCAATATATTGTGATTTTGTAGTAAGATATTATTTATCTTGATATTTTTCATGTAAATTCTAAAAACATGTTCTTTCGCGTTTGATCACATATATTAAAATATTATGTGTGTAGTGTGCGCCTCGCATCACTCGGGCGCGCGCATCGCGTTGCGCCTTGCACATGTGCGCGTAAAGATGTTTTGCGCTCTGCATTGCGCCTCGCGCATTGAAAACACTGGAATTTATTGTAATCGACCGAAGATATAATGAATTCGACAACAAATTCGACTTTTGGCGAAAACAAACTGGCGACCACAGTGGGAGCCAACGGTCTCGCTGCCGAGACCGTCGTGTCGCAGCCGATCAAGATTCCAGTTGAATCCATGGTCGAATACGAATTCGACCAGACCAAGTTTGAGGAATATCTCTCATCATCCTCTTCAAGATCTTCATTATCTCGCAAGTACAAGAGGATCTCACAATTGAGGAAGAGTTGCATGCCAAAGAAGGCACAAAATGAAGACTCTCGCTTGATTGTTGCTGAGAATTTCACTCGCAACACCTCTGCTCACAATGGCTCTTATCTAGTTGAAGAGTCATCAAACCAAAGCCCGCCGACATTGACGAAAAGAGCTCGTCAGAGACAGCGTCAGCGTCGTGCTCGTCAAATAGCTAAGGCATTTGAACAAACCGACGGAGTTCGTTATTATGCGGACTTAGAGTCGAGGAAACAACAAGTGGTTTGTTCAACGCAAAGACAAACTACTCACGTTTCTGCAACAACCAATCACTCGTATCTCTGCTAAAACAACGACGGATGAATGGACTATTGTCAAAAAGACTCGTTCGACCCTCAAAGAACGTATACAAAAACGTCGTGCAAAAGTTGCTAATGCTCATGCTCTCTCACAACAAAGACGAGAAAAGAGGAAGGAAATGGTGACCAAAGAATCACCAAAACTTCGTCAAGTTTGGATTCCAAAGTCTGGACTTATGCAAAATCAGCATTCGGAGCCCGTTAAGACTCCATACCCACAAGGGGGTGGTTCTAAACGTGCGACTCCCGACATAACCTTGGATCGCTTAAAGACAAAAATAAATTGTCCTGAGAATGCCAACAAGGTTTTATACCCCCAGAAGAAGACGCATTCACCAAATGATATCGTCATACCTGGGAGATCATACCAACAGACGATACGATTTTTTGGCAATCATACCGATGAATCGTATTATCAAGTTGAAGTTGTGAATAATTTTCGAAAGAGAGTTATTCGAGAGATAAACTCTCGTTGTTCCTGTGCGCGACTCGTTAAAACAGCATTATCAGAATGTGACTGTTTCAAACGAGAAGTCATCCCACGAAAAGTCTCTGTATTATCGAAACCTAAGCCGAGACATTTCCGCAAAAGAAGAGCAGCTGTCCAAAATGATGAATTCCCTGAAGTCACCATCAACGTGGCTGATAGAAGAAAGTCTAAACAGCATTCAAGTGACTCAAATCCCGACTTTTCCCCGAAAGGAAAAGTCAATCCAAGAATTGCTCAAAGGATGTCTCGACTCCAATTAGGAGCTATCAGACGCAGAGACTACAAGAGAATGCAAGAAGGAATGTCCTCGGAGGATGAATTCTCGGACACTTATTCTGCAATCGCTTCTGATGATACAATGTCTAGCACAGGACAAATCAGAGAAGTATTCACAATCACTGCTGATCAGTTCACTCAAATACTTCAGGAAGCTCTAGCCAAACAACGTGAAGAAATTAGAGCTGAAGTGAAGACAGAAATGAAGTTGGCTATCCAACAAATGAGAGAACTGTTAACTCAACAGCCTCAACCTCCTGAGTCCAATCAGCGATTTGAATCCAGCCACCACACTCGGAATGTTGTAGATGACAGTGATCCAGAGGTGGATGAAGTCATTATGGCTGATACACCTCCCAATGGCAATAACGCTGGGGGTGGTTTAACGGATCCTCCCAATAACGATATTGGGGGTGGTTCAATAGCACCTCTCACTGGGGGTGGTCCAATTATCTTTACTCGACATCATTCAGAAAGAAATGAAGACGATGACGGGAAAATGCAAAAACTTGAAGACAAAATCAATGCTTTGATGACGGCTCAAGAAGTTAAGAAGACGGGTATTCCATGTCCTTATCCGAGGGAATGGGATTCAATACCATACCCGACCAAATTCAATCTGATTAACTTCATACCGTTTGAGGGGAAGAGTTCGCCGATTCAGCACTTGATTTATTTCAAGTCTCATTTGGGCATGATCTCTGGAAACGAGGCTTTAATGGTCCGGTCATTCGTTGGCACCCTTCGCGGGCCCGCCTTCGATTGGTACCGACGGCTCAAGCCAGGGAGCATCAATTGCTGGGATGACATGGAAAGTTTGTTCCTCAGCAATTTCTTCGATGATGACACCGAAGTGTCAATCGGAACCCTTTTGGATGAGAAGCAAAAAGACGGAGAGTCAGTTGACAATTTTGTCAAACGTTTCCGTAACAAAGCAATGAATTGCAGAGATCCTATTACAGAGGAGTTCATCCTGCAAACATGCCACAATAACCTTTCCATCGATGTCCTGGAAGCTCTGGGGGTCGTGCCATCCACAACTTGGAAGGAGTTAAAATCTCGGGGTGAACAAGCTGAGCACTTTCTTAAAAGAAAGAAAGCTGAGAGAGGCCAACCAATGACATCTGCAATCGTTGAGAATGCGACTCTCGATCCGAGGTTTCAAAAGGAATATTCTTTCGAAGATGATGAAGCTCCAGCCATATTGGAATACCTCCTCGCTAATGACAAAATCGAGCTACCACCTATTAAAGATCAGGATGGAGCTAAGAGGATTACGGATCCAAACTACTGTGCGTACCACAGAAGGGTTCTTCATCCCACTGAGATTTGCTTTGGACTCAAAAATAAGATCCAAACCCTAATTGACTCCGGCGTCATAACGACGAAAGAAGTCGAATAAAGACGACCATAAACTCCATTGGGTACACGAGTATAAAGTATAAACTGCTTCTCCATCTCACTCCGAAAAGTATACGAGTATAAACTGCTCCTCGACACTCCAAAGAGTATATGAGTATAAACTGCTTCTCGATTATCCAACTGAGTACAATGTTAAACCCGGTTTCGCAAAGGAAGCTGGGGGTGGATGATTTATATAACGGGAAGTTCCTGGAGAATCTTATATTCTTAAGGATAACCCGAATATGCGATTGAGGATAACGTACTCCTCGTTACACCCAGTTTTGCAAAGAAAGCTGGGGGTGGATAATTCATGTAACGGGAAGTTCCCGGAAGAATGTTAAATGTAATATTCTTAGGGATAACCCCGATCATTATGAACAAAGTGATAAACACTAAACTCCTACTATGACTTCCGAATACTCTTTTGCTGAGATGAGATTCGATCACCTCTTTAGATCAATCTTCCCTCACAAAATTCCCATTTTGGTCAAACCTTTAAACAGTTAGGACCAAAGCCAAAATCCCCTCTCGATTCGTTCCATGAACGAGAGGTCCACAAATTGAACGATCAAACCTTTAAACAGTTAGGATCGTCTCAAATTCCCATCTTGGTCAAACCTTTAAACAGTTAGGACCAAAGCCAGAATCCCCTCTCGATTCGTTCCATGAACGAGAGGTCCACAAATTGAACGATCAAACCTTTAAACAGTTAGGATCGTCTCAAATTCTATTTTGGTCAAACCTTTAAACAGTTAAGACCAAAACCAAAATCCTCTTTTGGTCAAACCTTTAAACAGTTAGGACCAAAGCCAAAAGCCCCTCTCGATTCGTTCCATGAACAAGAGGTTCACAAATTGAACGATCAAACCTTTAAACAGTCAGGATCGTCTTAAAACTCCCACTTGGTCAAACCTTTATTGAACGATCAAACCTTTAAACAGTCAGGATCGTCTTAAAACTCCCACTTGGTCAAACCTTTAAACAGTTAGGACCAAAGCCAAAATCCCCTCTCGATTCCTTCCATGAACGAGAGGTCCATTCAAGTTGATCGATCAAACCTTTAAACAGTGAGGATCGTATCAAATTTCCACTTGGTCAAACCTTACTACAGTTAGGATCACAACCAAAATCTCTTCTCGATTCATTCCACGAACGAGAGGTCCATTCTCAAGTTGAATAGTCAAACCTTATGACAGTTAGGATTATTCAAACCAGTCCAGATTTTTCCTTTGTACCAGGAGATAGAATATAAAATTCTTCCTCTCCGATTCCGGGTTCATCTCTACCAACAAACAAGAGACCAGGAGATAGAATATAAAATTCTTCCTCTCCGATTTCGGGTTTATCTCTACCAACAAACAAGAGACCAGGAGATAGAATATAAAATTCTTCCTCTCCATCATCGGGTTTATCTCTACCAACAAACAAGAGATCAGAAGATAGAATATAAAATTCTTCCTCTCCGATTCTGGGTTCATCTCTACCAACAAAAAAGAGACCTCGATTCTGGGTTCATCTCTACCAACAAAAAAAAGACCTGAATACTCCAATAGGTACACGAGTCTAAACTGTTTTCCTACCCTCAACAGGAAGTTTCTGGAGAATATTACTCAGAATATTCTTAAGAATAACCTGAATACTCCAATAGGTACACGAGTCTAAACTGTTTTCCTATCCTTAACAGGAAGTTTCTGGAGAATATCAGTTAAAATATTCTTGAGAATAACCTGACTACCCCTAAACGGGTATATTCAGTGTCAACTTGACGACAAGAGCTGATTTCACAAGTACAAGTTCCAGCTTTAATTCAAGATCTCTACAATGGACAAGCGATAAACGCGATGCCGGAAGAATCTTAACTATTCTACAAAGCACTGAATAGATTGAGAGACAAAGAGATCAAAAGTTGAAGCCACCTACGGGTTCCTCTACACGATCTACTCAACCAAGCATTGAAAGGATCGTAAGTAAGATCTATCTTATCCAAAGCATCCCAGAACTCCTCTATAAAAGATTGAGTCTGGAATACTTTGGAGGGGGTATCTGTAGGGCGAGACAGTATTTACTGTCTCGCCGTGCGAGACAGAATTTACTGTCTCGCACGTGAGACAGCTTTCAGATGGTCAAAACTACCTTTGTAACTGCCCTACACGTGGCCACTAACTGTTCAAGAACGTGGGAAACGTCGTGGGCGAGAATCACGTGGATAACTGCCAAAATAACGGAGTTTGAAACGTGGGAAGGCAATTAAGATGAAAACTGCCAGAAATGTAGACAGTATTTTACTGTCTCGAGACAGCAAACACTGTCTCGCCCGTCGAGACAGCAAAAGCTGTCTCGCGAACATGTTTTCTGCCAACTGTTCCTAGAGGCTATATATACTCCCCGAAGGCTATTTTCTCAGGAGGGCGGATCATTGTGAGTACTTCAGAGCAATCCAGAGCAATCCAGAGCAGAGAGAGAGAGCAGAGGTGCTGATCTTACGGCCAATCCTTGAAATTGAGCTTTGACTTGATTTCAAGAAGAACGACTATCTTACATCGATAAGATATCGTTTCAATTTCTCACTTCGATAAACGAAGTCAGAATCATAAACCCCTCACGGTTCAATCAGAATCTGTGACTTGGTGGTCCACGAGTCAAAGCGCTCCCGGCACAGGCAAAGATCCCACGAAAGCAGTGATCCAAACAACGATCCTGCGTTTATTTTCTCAAGAGTTGTAATTTTCTTTTTGTTGTGTAAAAGAGTCTTATAAAAAGGCTGTTTTCTTTGAATTTATTGTAATCGACCGAAGATATAATGAATTCGACAACAAATTCGACTTTTGGCGAAAACATATACTGCTCCTAGTTTCCTTTTTTATATTATTCTCCAATCAAGGTCAATTGTCATCTTGGACCTTAACACCTTAATTGACATTCACTTGGAATCTGAAATAATATCCTTTTAAGCATTCACAATGTCCTCTGATCTTCAACCAAGGTCAATTTGTCTTTTTTAAGCATTCACACTTTTGGTGAGTACGTGTTGGTTTCTAAGATGCCTGTATGGCAATTTCAAAGTCATCATTTCAAGATGACGTTAACTTCCTCTAAATACATGAACGCTGTCAAGTTCCCAGAGACAATCAATTTTATCAAATTGAGCTTATATGATGTTCAAGTACATGCACAGCATTGATTTGATACCTACAAAGCATATACCAAATTTTTAAGTGTTGAACTTCGGCTTGTAATATTTTCTGAACCCACAATGTAATGCTGCTGTCAGCTGCATTTGTATGTGGACATAATTATGGACCAGGTGAAAGCAATACTACGTCATACCAGTTGGCTATAAAAGAGGCAAAATGAATTTATATAATTGCATATTTTCATCATCCAGTATCTAAAAGAGACATTGTACTCAAGCAGGTAGAAGCTGAGAAGAAAGATGGAAAGGGGAAGCGGGAGAAGAAGAAGCACAAGAGGAAGCATCATCATAAGTCGAAAACCAAGAGGGGTTCAGACTCAGAGGACCCAAGTGAAAACGAGGAAGATAGAAGGAAAAGAAGTCGTCCAGCATATGATCCACTGAAGCATAGCAAACAGAAGCTTTCATCTAAAGACAGCAGCGAAGATGAGGAAGATAGAAGAAAGAAGCACGGCAAACAGAAGCATTCATCTAAAGACAGTAGTGAAGACGAGGAAGATAGAAGAAAGGGCGATCGTTTAGCATCTGATCGCCACAAAGACGGCAGCTCAGAACATGAGAAAAGATCATCCAGAATCCGGTCTGATTCAAGGTATTCCAGTGAGAGTGAAGAAGACCGGAGAAAGAGTCATAGAGAGAGCAACTTGAAGCATGAAAAGCGTACATCCAAAGTCCGTTCTGATTCGAAATATTCCAGTGAGAGTGAACAAGACAAGAGAAAGAGTTACAGGGACAGCAACTTGAATCATGAAAAGCGCTCATCCAGAGTCCGCTCTGATTCAAGATATCCAAATGAGAGCGACCATCATCGTGAATACGGACAAAATAGACGTTCATCTCGACATCATGAGAGAGATGAAGAGAGAAGAAGGCATATCCCTTCAACATCTGAGCATCATCGTTCCAATTCTGAGAACGGTGCAGAAAACAAGAACAACGTAACTCACACACAGAATCAACAGCAGCCAGGCTACAATCGTCGAAAGGGAGTTCCAAAGATGACAGAAGAGGAGAGAGAAGCAAAGTTGAGAGAGATGCAGCTTGATGCTGAGCTGCATGAGGAGCAGAGGTGGAAGAGGATAAAGAAGGCAGCGGATGCTGATGCCAAAGAAGCAATGCAGGCTCGCACCTCTGGTGGTAAGAATTTCTTGGATGATGCTCAGAAGAGCATTTACGGAACAGAGAAGGGAGGGAGTTCTACGATTGAGGAGAGTGTCCGTCGTCGTGCCATGAGAGCAATGCATTCAGGCGTTGAATTTCAATGTTATTAAAAAGCCATTTTTTCCCTATGGGGTTTGTTCAAATTCTCTACTAGATAGTGCTGTTGTATTTGGTACTCTTTTATATATTTTTGGAGAATAAGATAATAACTTGAGATGCAAGTCCCAGGGAAGCAGAATAGTGGTGGTGGGCATCTAAATCTTGATGAGATTATGATGCAGAGTATGTCTCTCAATGCAGTAGGCATTTTTCCAAGGTGGCGAGTGGTGTTAGCACGTGCATTCACGGCACAAACTTTGAACGGACATAGCGCGCCCTGCAAAGCTCTTGAACAGTGCTACTGATATCTTTACGAACCGACTAACGTATTGAAGTTGGATAATTAATTAGCTACCTGGACTGTGGCTTCAGGCCGAAGCACTATTGATCCCCTCAGAACCACCCGCATGCTACGCTGCTCCCCTACCCAAGATCAAAGGTTGGGAGCCACATGCTCACATGCGGGTGGTTCCGAGGGGAATCGTACGAACCAAATATGTATTGAAATTGGACAATCAGTTAGCTGGCCGGCAAGACTCCAAAATTTTAGCTAATTAAATACCAAGCAACTAAAAAAAGTAGCACATAAACACTGAATGCCCAAAGCATGTATCATCTGAGACACGGATCCATAAGCAAGACATGGATGGATCATGTCATTGCCAAAATATTTGCTTATAGATGAATATGTTTGCAACTTCCGACATATTTGTTTAATACAAAGATGAGGCCTGCTGAATGAGTCTAGTTTGCCCAAAATGGAAGCCCTCTATTCACCTCTCTGGTGCTACAAACCTATCATATATTCCTGTTCATTACGTTCCTCTTTGCCTCGAGGCTAAAATTTCCCAGGCCATAACAATTGTTGGGAGACAAGCATGGAGAACAACGTATTGGTAAATCCAAGTACAACGCTTGCACAGATTTCAGATCTGGCATCGCAGAAGCTATGCTTAAAATCCGTATGGCATTTATATATTTACTAGAAGGACCTTCTTTCTCCAGTTCGGCCTTTGATTTCCGAACTAATGTAGCAGCAGATATTACAGTGGAAATTCTTTCTGGAGAACATCGATATTCCTTGAATCACAAGCTTCAAACATGTCATTCCGAGACGCACAGCTGTGTGAATGAAAGACTTCATATTACTTTCCAGCGGTTCCCCAAAAAGAAGCTTTACAAGTGTAATTTATTGAGATATGGGGCAACAGTGAGCTATTAAGAGATAAGGCTATTGGTGGGATTTGGATCCTCTCTACTGCTAAAAATTAGTGGAGACACCACTACTTTTAAATCAAACTTTGGTTGTTCAATGAATGATTTGATTTGTTTTTGTTAGTGCGAAATAGGAATGGTTGCAATCCACGGGAGGATGATAGGTGTTATATTTGGAATGAGTCACAAATGTCCACAACCATCCATATATAATAAATGGATGGAATTAAGCGTAACGGTCTATCCACTACTTTTTCGTAGTGGAGAGGATCCAAGGCCCAACCTGCTATTATTCAAATCATAGCAGATGAACTCATCAGTCACCAAATCTCTTAACAGCTCATTTTGCTAAATGATGTAGCACCTCATATCCAGTGTGTGTATTTTGTTGCATATATTTCACATAGTTGCAAAATGACATACCTGAGAGATATCCTTAAATAATTCCAGGCATTATCCGCCTTAGGATTCATGGCAAGTGCTCTTACATAGTAGCGAATAGATTCTTCATATAGTTGCTGAACGTAGAAAAGAGGATAACTATCAGACAAATGTACTGTTTGTATTGCTTCAGAAAAGAGACACTAAGATGCAGCAACAAAGCAAAACTAAATTTCCATCCTATTGGGTTTCAGGTAATAGTTTTGGGATTTTTTTTTTTTAGTATAGGGGCTCAAACTGCTATCCATTAATAGGTTTGCATGGTTTATGATCTCTGACTTAAAACAATTCCATGTCTAACTTTCATGTGATTTGTTCTGATAAGGCATCTGCAGTTTGTACGCACCTCAAGATTAAGGGAAACATTTCTCAACAAACTGATCCAAGCGACTAAGTGACCTATAGCATAATTATATGTGCAGTCATGTCACGCTTAAGAACATGCAAATATGGAATTCCTAGCTATCCTCAAATGACCAGATGAATTATACTATTGAATTATATATAGATCACGGTGAATACTGAATTTGAGATCAGGTCTTATATTTTATATCTGTAAACATCCTCTCATTGCGAATACTAAGGATAATCATACACCAAACATACTCAGCCTACATTCACCAGGATCAGAGATCAAGAGCAATCTACATTAAGAAATATGAAAAAAATCAAACTAGTGCAATTAGTATAACAGATCTCTCTGCTGTCAATATTAAATGCTTTCATTAATTGTATATGTTTCTTCATCCTGTTATGTTAAAAAATCAAGATTGCTCTATGGTGCAAATGAATACAATGATATGCGGGTTTGAAAAGGACAAACCTGATTAGCATAACTGATGCCCATGTTTGCCCATGCTCGAACATAATTTGGCTTCAAGTCTAGTGCCTGTACAGCCAAGAAAACAAAGAAAAAGAAATAAGTTGTAGGAAGATGCGTAAAATTACCCAAAACTGCTAATATACTATGACACAACAGAAGTATTGTATGCCTAGAAGTGTCCCGACAGCAGTTCAACAACCAAAACCAAAGGAAACTGAACGACATGTCAAGTCAATCCCCTTCCAGGGAGGGAATCAATATTCCCACGTGAATTTTTATCACAACTATATGGATGCTACAACTGTGTACAGAGTTATTTTCTTGAACGATAGCAGATGAAGCACGTCACTCATATAACATCTTTTCGAAAGTAAAAAAGTAAAAACAGTACTGGGATATCGTCAGGTTCTCCATTTTCTGCAAAGACGATGAGAATCATAGAGAAGTTGATAATTAAAAATATGCTCACGTCTCAAGAGTCAAGAGCCCCAACTCTCAATAGACAGAAGAATAAGTGTTACCCATGCATGCAAGTAGCACGAAAGAGCATGCATACCAAAGTTTATGAGAGAAGTGTTCATCGAAAGAGAGATTCAAGTATCCTCAAATTAAGTAACAGAAGCACTCGAGAAATGTTCACATCAAAGAGAGATCCAAGGATCCCTGAGAATAAGTAATAGAAGAATGTGAAAAAACTAGTCTCACCTGCTGATAAGCTGATATTGCTTCTGAACTCTGAACACTATTTGCTTGGGTTGCACCCAGCTTGTTCCAGAGAGAGTAATCACGGGGCTTGAGTTTTAGTGCTGTCTTAAAGGACTCTATGGCTTTATCATATTCTCTTGACAGATTGTATAGTACACCAAGAACAATATGCACATCAGCATCCTCAGGTGACATCTGAGCAGCATCACCAAACAGTCTTGCAACCTGATATAAGAATCACATTTTAAGCAGTAGTGGAGGTACAAGTACATCAAAGCCACTAATAATCGAATATCAACTGTAAGCTTCAGATAAATATTACATGTTATAAAATAGTGAATCTGATTAGTGGAAGTACATTTAGTGAAAATTTACAGAACATTTTTCCATTTGGCTACTTCCCTCTGATTCTGATGAACTCAGGAAACAGAATTAACCATTAATCACTGATAGACATCTGAAGATAGTTCGGTTTTTGCAAGGAAAAGAGGCTATTTTAAAGATATCTGTCAAGAGAACTCCCAAAGAAATTATCTAGTTCACTAAAGGTCTTTAACATAACTCGCCATACATACTTTTATTATAGTTTATAAAATAAAAGTTTCAGAGGATACTACTTACATCAGCGTAGTACAAAGAATCACCCTGTTGAGGTGGAGCAATAGCCCCATATTTGGGGTGATTTTGAAGCCATCTGTAAAGATATTTCAATGCTTCAGGCTGCTCTAGCTCTGCAATTTAAAAGAAGAAACTTCATTAAAATTTTTGAAGTACCTCAAAACAGCAGTATAATACCTCTCTATAATACTGGTCAATTAACTTCTGGACTCGCAACAAAAGAAAAATCAAATTCAAGTGTTCAAGAAATAACATGGGTATAGCTATTAACATAAACAAAAATGTGATTCAAAATAGGGTAATTTACACTAACCCCCACCCAACATCTTTCAGTGTTTTGCAGTAAACCCCAATAACTTTCAAAATCGCACTAGACCCCCAATAACTTTCAGCACTTTGCAGTAAACTCCCAATGACTTTCAAAACCACACTAAACACCCAAAAACTTTCAGCATATTGCAATAAACCGCAATAATTTTCAAAATAACACTAAACCCCTAGTAACTCTTGGAATTGCAGAAACCCCCAATAAGTTTCCCTGTTTTGTCAGATAACACCATAAATTAGAACCAAAAATCAAGATAAAAAGGCATTTTGAAGGGCAATTTCAGCCAGAAAAAAGGGTTCCATACCCCAAGCTGGGCGTGAGCAAGAGGAGAAAAAGAACAAATGAGAAAAGATGAGATTTTTATTTTTAGAGTTGAAAATATAAAAAAGGTCATTAATAATTTAAGATATTTTGGTCTTTTTAAGTCACGTGAGTTGCATGTACCACCTCAGATGTAACCGTGTTACCTTTGCCTGTTTTCTAAAAAAGTTATTAGGGGTTTAGTTTGGATATGAAACTTATTGGTAGTTAAGTGCAAAATCCTAAAAGTTCTTGGGTTTAGTGTGACTTTGAAAGTTATTAGGGGTTTACTGGAAAACGCTTAAGTTTTTCGGGATTGAGTGTACTTTATCCTTTAAATTATGTTGCAAGGATACTCCCACATAAAAGACGCAACCATTTGATCATGATCTATAGTTCCCAAACAAGATTAAACGCCACTTTCTGTTAGGTCTCAAATGCTATAATAGTTGAAGTAAGCAGCACATTATTGAGACCATTCATCTCATAGTAAATTGAAGTCTACAACAAAAGCTATAAATAAAAGGATTTTTGAGTTTTGCACTTGAAATGATTTTAGATTAATTTGAGAGAATCTCAAGTATACTTCCTATCATGAAATTTAACCGTAAAGGGTATTGGTTTCTAATCCTCTCCAATGGAACCAAGTCTGTTATCTCAAAATTATCTTGCATTCAAAAAGAAATGTTAACTAAAACAAAGTTCAATAAATTTTTCTTGTGAGATTCTAAAATTACTTGCATTTGTAAGTGAGCTACAGAAGCTTAAGAATAACTAACAAAAAATGTGATAACTGATATATTTCCTATCCTTAAGAATAGGCCTGTGAGCACTTAAGAATAGGCCTGAGCTTCATGACTCCTGATTGTGGTATCATTGGAACATAATGATCTATCTAATACAACAGTTGTTCCTGTACTGAAAAAACAAAGGTTAAAGCTCACATACGAATCAGATCCCGATATGATTCCATCACTCGAGGTACTCAGTGGGATTCTCTTGTGTAATTTTGCAAGTTGGTCTCATGCAAGTCTGACAATAAGGCAATTATAATAAGTACTACAAGGTTAACAGGGTCTATGTTTGTTCCTTCAAACCCAAAATCTAAATTATGTATATTACTTTGTTTCATTTTGCTATGCCAGATATCTAGTAGAAGCGGTTAACGAAAAGAGAAGTTGACAGGCATCAAAACATCATACAAATTGGCTCCTGACCTTTTTAGTGAACGATCAAGACAGTAGAGATAGACATCATATATTACGTAAAATAATATAATTATTTTTAAAATTCTTTTTGTTAGTTTTCTTTCTTAAACATTATAATCATGCAATATTTCTTCTATGATGCACATGGCTTATCCCTTCAATGAGCAAACATATTCTAAGAAATGTATGTTAATCTCTTTCATCTAAAACAAAACAAAAAAGGCAAAAATATTCCTTAACTTGAATAAAATCTGGAGACATGTCATATGTGAACATTAATTTCTCATCAATTAATGAGCATCCTGTTTCATAGAAATTGGGGATAACAAAGTCCTCGCTTAAGGGCCAGCCTAACCAACTTTCAGGCATCAAGATACATTTGAGGCATGGATGATTATCATAGATTCATAAGAGAGTCTCAACATATCATAAGATTCCTGTTCTTGAATATTAGCACTTCTCCAAATCCAGAAGGGTTCTTCGAAAAATGCCAACTGGCACAACCCTTGGATATACTTCTACTTGCAGTTGAAGATAAGAACTGATGTTTGATAAAACTGAAATTATGAGAGACTGCACTCTCTGTGAAATGTGTTAAATCAGCACTCTATGTCAGAATAATAAGGTCATAGTGTGTATAAATGATTTATGGAGATTTCTTTTGAGAAGTCTTAGACTCGAGATACAGGGTGACTTCAGGATAGAAAAATTGGTAGAAAGAATACCAAGTGTACGTCATACAATGACTATTTTTTTTTTACTTACCTGAATTTTCGACACCATGTTGTCTTAACAACATCAACAGCAGGTGCAATGCAACTAGATGCCTACCTAATGTCTTATAAAAGACAATTAATATGGTTTATGACAGAATTCTATCTTCTTTGCATAGTAACTGAAATCCAAATGAAAAATGACCAACTAGAAAATCTCTTGCACACTTCTTAGAGTTGGCACTGACTAGATTTGTTGAATTGGGTCAACATATCACGACAACAAGATCAAAATAAAAATAAGGTCAAAATTATATGTGCTTAAATGATTTCTGATGGTAATCAAGAAATACAGCTTAATGGAAATCTAAAAGGATTCACATATGCCCTGAAATACCAATCCAAGGATTCACATATGCCCTGAAATACCAATCCCCGTGCCAACAGCAAGATTAACAGTGAAAAACAGGAAGATGGAGTATTCCTACAGAAACTGCTCGAAATACAAAAGACTTGCACAAGTAAATCGAATTACACCCAACACTTACCATTGGTATAACTCACACCAAGTGCAAGAAGCACTTCCAGATTTGTCGGATCAGCTTCTTGAGCACGCATCATTGATGCAATAGCCTGATATATTCATACAGTTTAGGAAAATATTTTTTAAAATAAATTCCCAATAACAACTAAGTAAACATGTAGTGGAGCTTTGATTATAATGTAAATTAAGTTCAATAAGGCATACAACAAAGGGTCTTGTTTTATCATTTGGATGCACCAATTTGAATTTCTCAAATAAAAAGCTAACGATATGAGATTCATTCACCACAAATTATTTTTCATCAAATCAAATAATGAACAACTGTCTTAAAAACATGTCGGTGAAAAAAGTTCAGATAGGAAAACCGTTAATCCGAAGGACCATTAAGCACACATATATAATCATTTGGCATTAGCTGTGCAAATTACAATCACCTGATCATGTTAAATAACAACTAGCAAAAGATAAATCCCTTTCCTAGATGCTGTTTTCAACAGCCATTACAATACAAAAGTTGTTCATCTACATGGGTTTACTATTGTTTGTCCTGCGTAAATGTGTGTTGGCACAAGTTGAAGTCATACCTTCACTTATCTGTATTTGCAGGGGGGATGTGTGTGTGCGTGTTTCTTTTTTCTTTTTTTTAGGGTGGGTGGGTTTGTGTGTGTGTGCGCATGTTTTTTTTTGGGGGGTGGGGGGATGACAACTTTCATGTGCCTCAAATTCATCTTAGTAACCTCATCATCGTCTTTACTATGTCTGCTTTACCATGTTTGTGGGGTCAAGTTGAACAAAGTCGCGCCTCTACCTCTTATCTCGCGTTATTTCAATATGTTTTCTGATTATCTTAAGTTGCATGAGAATAGTACTTGTAAGCAAGAAAGAAAGTCAAACTACAAATGTTAGTTTATGAGATTGTATAGGTGGCAATCCCCCAAGACGTGGACCAGCCATCTTCCATCTAACGAAACAAAGTTGCAGGCTGATTGGCCCACTCAGAATCCGTTGAACATCTTAAAGTGGTCAATTCTCAAGCAAATCCTGTCAAATTACGTGAGGGAAAAACTTCTTTTGACTAGGGCTGGGCGTATTCGGTTCGGTTCGGTTTTAAGCCCAATCCGCATCCAATCCGAATTTTTCGGATTCTCAAAACTCTCATCCAGATCCAGATTTTTTCCCCTTCATCCGAATATTCGGCCCAACCGAAATTCGGTTCGGTTCGGTTCGGTTTCGGTTTTGAACCGAATTAACTCCATTTCACAAAAATCTGGGTAAGTTTTAGTTACATCCAAAACTGAAAAGAAGCAATCAAAACTGAAAAGAAACACTCAAAACTGTACTAAGCCACTTAATCAAATTGTATGATCTGAATATAACTAGCTTAATACACTAGGAGGACCATGTAATTATGTAGCTTTTTTTAGAGAAAGAACAATGTTTGGCAAGCACACACACCTTTTGATGATTTTCGTTAATTTTTAACTGCCTTTTTCTCATCAAGAATTATCTTATATCCTTGACAGCCTATACTATAGGTTAATTTGATATCCAGCACCAACAAGCTGTATTCATGTTATCACTGAAATTTGATCAAAACACTAAATTTATCATTCAACCTCAACATCTTATATTGATTTACGGAAATCTCACTTAACTATATTAGCGTACTCAAATATATGTTAGTATAAACTCCACCACCCCACAATTCTTAAATGCTAAACATTCAGCCATAAATTTTCTTCACACCCAAGGCTCGCAGCTACTTTTTGTTTAAGAATTCGGTTCGGTTTTTTGGGCGGTTTTCTGCCAGCTAAGCTTGCCATAAACAATAGAAGAGAGCACGCTTGAGCTTGTGAGTCACATACAGATAATGGAATCAAACATCTTTGCAGAAGATATGGCATCTCTTAGGGCTGGGCGTATTCGGTTCGGTTCGGTTTTAAGCCCAATCCGCATCCAATCCGAATTTTTCGGATTCTCAAAACTCTCATCCAGATCCAGATTTTTTTCCCTTCATCCGAATATTCGGCCCAACCGAAATTCGGTTCGGTTCGGTTCGGTTTCGGTTTTGAACCGAATTAACTCCATTTCACAAAAATCTGGGTAAGTTTTAGTTACATCCAAAACTGAAAAGAAGCAATCAAAACTGAAAAGAAACACTCAAAACTGTACTAAGCCACTTAATCAAATTGTATGATCTGAATATAACTAGCTTAATACACTAGGAGGACCATGTAATTATGTAGCTTTTTTTAGAGAAAGAACAATGTTTGGCAAGCACACACACCTTTTGATGATTTTCGTTAATTTTTAACTGCCTTTTTCTCATCAAGAATTATCTTATATCCTTGACAGCCTATACTATAGGTTAATTTGATATCCAGCACCAACAAGCTGTATTCATGTTATCACTGAAATTTGATCAAAACACTAAATTTATCATTCAACCTCAACATCTTATATTGATTTACGGAAATCTCACTTAACTATATTAGCGTACTCAAATATATGTTAGTATAAACTCCACCACCCCACAATTCTTAAATGCTAAACATTCAGCCATAAATTTTCTTCACACCCAAGGCTCGCAGCTACTTTTTGTTTAAGAATTCGGTTCGGTTTTTTGGGCGGTTCAGGGGTTCAAACCGGATCCAGACCGGTTTAATTCGGTTTGGACGGTTTAGAGACTTCTTCTCATCCATTTAATTCGGTTCGGTTAACCGATCCGTTTTTTCGGACGGTTTTTTCGGTTGAACCGGTTTGTTTCGGTTTTTGCCCACCCCTACTTTTGACTACTGATAGGAAAGTTTAAGGACATAGTTGAAAATTGTTTGCAGGAAGGTTCCACAAAAGCATAGCATATTCAAAGAAACATTTTTTTTGCTGGAATGACAATAAGAACTTTCTATTATTTCCTGCAAAACAAAATTATCCTAACATAACAGCACAAAATTGCCTTAGTGTATTACATGCTACATTTCATAGTGATCCAAAGATTAGGAGCAGAACATGAATTATCAAATTGAAGTTTCTAAAGGATGTCCTATACATATTAAGGATCATGCTTAATACTGCTTCTCACCAGGTGTACCAGTATATGTTTTTTTGTTATATCTCATGTAAAGGATTCAGGGGAAGTTACTCGCGATCAACAACTATTTTGGCTCACTAATAGAATTTTTGGGGACTGAAAAGGTATATCATTTCTTGAGATGAATGGAGTAGAATCATTGATTAGGCAGACCCAGATTACAAGAAAAGTAAAGAACAGAGATTTCCATAAAAAAATCCAAACAACTAGAGAAACTACATCACCTGTTGATCATCATCATTCTCTGCATGTGTTATTCCAAGCAATCTCCAGCCTTCAGCATTATCAGGGTTCTTCAAAACTTCTGCTTCTAGAGCAAGAACAGCTTCACTCAGAAGCCCTTTGCGGAAAAGCTCCTGACCTTCCTTCAAAGGATTCGGATGACCAACATAGGGGTTCATATCAGAGAAAACATAAACCCCTCTTGAAGCACTAGACGATTGCTTGGAGGTCTTTAGCTGATCATCCACATACCTACAATTAACGAGAAATGATAATGAAAAATTGCTTGGAGGTCTTTAGCTAATCATCCACATACCTACGATTAACAAGAAATGATAATGATAAATTACTCACAAAAGGGGGGAAACTTCCAGAATACATATATGGCTTCAACAATCAGTATCAATGTTTTAAATATCGGCCGATAACATTGTTTTATAGACGAGTTATCGGTTTTGGACCCCCGTTGCTGGGATAATTGCAATTTGTATCGGTGGGCTGTTTATTGGTGATAAATCGGCGACAAAGTGATATATGCCGAGTTTACCAGTAAAAAAAAATCAGAATTATTGCTCAAGTTATGTTTAGATTGGCTTTGGATTTTGAGCCATAGGCACATAACTAACACACTATAACTTGAATGATTCACCCAAACACTAAATCCTGACCCTATCCTTTCCCAATTAAATTAGCCCTAATGCCTCCTTTTTGTTCCTTCTCCATCTCTGCGCTTAATCTCAGTCGACTACTCGACTTCAATCAAGTCTACGATACTAAGCTGTCCATCGACTTCAACCTCAAGTCTCGACTTCAACATCACCATCTCTTTCCATTGACACCATTGGATGCCCTCAACATCGACTCTGGTGTGTTTATAATTCATCAAGTATGGTTAGATTATATTTTAGAAAATTTTATTATGTATGCACACCATTCGATATGACACTCCGATAAATACTACTTGTCCCCGATATATCCCCGATATGCATTATCCGATATCAATTTTTACCATCCAATGAATCCCTGATTACCGATATTTAAAACCAGTATTAGTATCGTGAAATTTGAAAGCAGAGGTTATAGAAAATAAATGTGTCTAATTGTCTAGGATGGCTTCAACAAACAAGTGATTATATAAATGAAAAAGGACTGTCAAAGTTTACAAGGCTAAAAATATGGAACAACTATGAAATAGCACTTTAATAAAGCAAACATACTAGATATGCTAAGTTATCTAGAAACATCAGAAATGTATGTGGAACAAATATGAAATAGCACTTTATTAAAGTAAGCATAATAGATATGCTAGGTTATCTAGAAACATCAGAAATGTATATGATCAAAGAACTGCAACAATAGAAAAACTACTTACTTATCATATGCATCTATCCACTGGTCAGAAGAACTTTCTCCCAGAACTCCCTGACTGACCTGGTGCCCAAATTCTTCTGCCCAGTCATTTTCGAGATTTAATTTGGAGAATTCATTGACCCATGGATCATCAACTCCCGCATGCTGACTTTCACTAGCAAACTCATTCACCCAATTATCTGGACCATGTGAAAGCTGAGACATAATTTCAAGACAATTCATCAAAAAACTAGTAGATTTTTTTGAATATACGACATAGAGAACTTCAGAATAGTGAAATGACATCTGACATACATACTTATGCAATTCATATTTGCACATAACCAAGAAGGCGATATATGTGAAATTACTGGCCCTCTAGGAATACTTAGACATGAAACATGTTGTTTGACTAGTAACGATTATAGAGACAGGACTTGCCTTTTCCTGAACAAACTGATCAGCCCAAGAGTTTGAATTTGCATTATGCTGTGTTTGATATTCATCAGCCCAATCACCTGAGGTGGATCCAGTAGCAGGTTTGATTTGATTGTCATCAACTATAAGCTCACCACGACTCATCTTTGAAACAAATTGAAGAAACTTTGAATTCTGGCCATAAAACAAATAAATCAGTCATAGCATAAAAGATATAAAAACTCATTTTTTTTATAAGAGAAGAGCCCATTTCTGTGAGCTGGCATCATTTATGAGATGGACATCGTTTTCAAGTAAAAAAACAGACTAAGGATCCCCAGTTAATTGTGAAGAATAAACTACATGAGAAGGATTTAATTTCAGGGTTAGGATTCATCTATGTTGCATGCATACAGCTATGGATACGAATACCACTACGGGTACGGAACACAACAAATTTGTAAAAGATAGGGTATGGGAACACGGCTATATAAATATTTATATACATATATATTATATATTGAAATTAATAATTTATATGAGAACAAGAATGAGAACTAAATTTCCTATAACATTTTTATGTTTCTATTATTATGTGGATTATAACTTGGAAAATCACCAATTTTTTAACTAGACATCCAAACGACCCTTCAAAATAATAATTCAAAACTTGACCTATGTCCAACGAGTGTAAAGTGGAAGTGATGCGTAGGATACACATCCAAAAAATGTTTGACAAAAGTTTTAAATTTAAACATGTGTACGGTATATGTCCAAAAAATGTGTGACGAACCATTTTAAATTAAGACATCTATGGCATAATTGAGTACATGCCCAAATAAATGTATGCATATATGCAAGGAGTGTCAAGGAGTTTGTTTGGGTACGGGTACATGTCGGGTATGGGTACGGGTGCGGCTTCAGATCAAAAGTACCCAGGTACTTCATGAACAAATCCTATCTGTACTATCCCCAGAAATACAAACTAGCCTAGAGTTCATCTACTTTGCTTGAATAGAATAGGCATGCCAATAAAATGACAAATTTTGATATATATACTTGATGGTGGTTTCCTCCCAATCATCTTGTGTTCGCAGTTTCCGCAATTTTGCTCTTTTTTTATGACAAACTAGGCCAAAAGACCAATTTGATCCCTGTACTAAGGCCTCAATACTCAAATTTGTCCCCCTACTTTAATTTTTCTCAACTTACTACTTATACCTCTTGTTAGATGTAAACTTTTTAACTCTTTAAAAATTCCATTAAATAAAGTTTGAAAGGCTACAGTTCCCTCATTTCATTCCCCTAAAAAAGGAATAAATGATTATACACATTTTTAAAAACGATTATGTCATTATAAACCTGTTTACCTATTGAGGTCCATCATCTACTATGCACTGATGGGAACTCTTTCAATTTAAAAGAACTTTCAACTTTGTGCAGATGAAGTTTAGATTAGTGTGAATTCATTTTTTATGTATAAAGAAATTAATTACTCTTTTTATATAAAGAAACTAATTACTCAGTTTTAGCTGCTGGAAAACAAAATAACCTTCAGAATAATTGGCCCTTATCTAATTTAGACAAACAAAATTTATTTTCCATTTTCAAAATCTTCAGCGATGTAAGCCTGCTCTTTTAAGAACAGAACATAGTTTCATTGTAAGTTTAATTTTTTTTAGAAAAGCTGATCTGTGTATTTGTCATCTTCCCGTTCTTCCAACTTTGTTTACTATACATCAGATGATGAATACAACTACATACTCTTTGTTTTATTTCTGGCTACTGATGATCCAACAAGTATACACGAACTCACACGACATAACTTGGAATGTGTATCTTTTTCTAATAGATGATCTTATAAAACAAATTCTAGCAACATTGAGGTTATGAAAATACACATTTTATGGCTTAGTCATTACTGTTGATTCTTTCTTTGTACTACCTTTAATTCAAAACCTTCAACAGTTCTCTCCTGAATATGAATTGTAAAATAAATAACACTTTAATAAAGTACAGAGACCGCTATTGCTATGTTATTGAGGGTAATGTGGTCATAAACGAAATATAACAGTACCACTATTTTAAAAAGTCTCTGCCTAGTCCGCCTAGTCCTAGGCGGTACCATGGCCGCCTAATTAGCGCCTAACGCCTAGGCGGTACCTAGACTGCCATCTAGATTTTATGAGTGTTTAGGACAACATTGTTTGCTTACGTGGACTGCATTCTTTAGGCCTTAGATCATGATTTTCTGTGTTGCAGCCTCCACGTCCTCCAATTCCTTCAAACTCGTATAACCTCCAAATATGAACACCTCCACTACCTCCTCTGACTTTCAACAAAACTCCCTCGACCACCACTTAAATAAAGAAAGAAATCCGCCTAGATACTGGCACCTAAGCTTTCTATAACATTAACATTTACTATCAATTATTGTAATTAAAAAAAAAATCTTTTAGGTTCTAGGCAACGGGCCCAACACTTAGGCCTCCTAGCGCTTTCTATAACCTTGTTAATTATTATTTTGGCTATTTAGCATTTAAGTATGCATGGTTTATTGCGCATCTAAAATTGCTATTTATTTTTTGTAAATTTATATGAATTTAATATATTTTTATCAATTATTATAAAAAATAGCCAAACGCCTAGGCACCGCCTACGCGTACGCTTAGGTATCTACGCGCTAGGCGTGGGCTCAAACGCCTAGTCCGCCTAACGCCTTCTGTAACATTGATTAGCACCCAATTTTTAATAGATGTTAAAAAAAGACTTAAATTGTAACCAAGGTGTGGTACAGGGCCAAAGTTGAGAAAAAAAAGTTTGAGGACCAATTTGAAGCCCCAGTACAAGGAACAAATTGGCCTTTTAGCCGACAAACTATTATTTTTCAGCATATCTGCCTGTCAAAAAGGGGAGTATTTAAAAATTTTGAGTTGGCTAGCTTATTGAACCATGTTTTTAGATAAACTCTTCATGCCATCATATGCTAGTAGACTTTGCTTCAGCATCAACTACATTAACTCTTCTGCTTGAGGAGAACAAACCAGCACACCTTGCCTAATGTATAGCCACAGGCTCACAGTCCTAGGCCTAGATAAAGGAGTGAATTAACCAACAGCCGGTTTAAAATTTTATCAGTGATATTTATGAAACAAACTCTTCCAGAATGCATGACAGAGTGAACCCCAATTACCACAGGGCATGATCTTACTAGAGCACAATCTTACTAGAACTGATGAACAATAAGGATTCATGTACAGAACCCAAAGAAATTGGGATATGAACTTTGTTGGTGATGCTGGTGTTTGTTCTACGAGTGCACAAAAGAAAAAAGAATAGTTCAGGAATTCGAAGTTTGACTTCTGCAAGATATCTTGTGTCTCATCTTGTGTTCTATAAGACTTTTTTCTTTCAAATGCTTGAATTTCCAACTTCTGCTAGTCCACCTTCTTTCCTTTATAAGAAAATCCTCTTTTTTGGGGTGGTGACTTTGGAGGGGCAGGACGTGTTAGTGCAGGAACAATGATTGTTTAGTACTAGGTATCCCTAGGTAACACATGCTTTATTTCATAGGGAACTTCCCTCAAAAAACAATACAATTGTTAATTTTGAAAGCTGTGAGGACGACATGATGATGAACGCCCATCTTTTTAGCTAATCTAAAATGCCCATTTTATTCTGTTTCCTCTTTTTTTCCATATTTCACCCTCTTACATTTGTATCTCATATCTCCTTCCTTTCTTTGTGACTGTTGTTGAATTGCTGAATTGAACAAGACAAGCAGACGTCCCAGATAGCACAGGCCTCAACATACAAGGAACAGCCATTTAGAGAAATGATTGAATATGCTAAAAGACAAAGAAATGGAAATTTATGTCAGAACCACTTCACATTGAAAAAGAAGCGGCCTTCAAAAGTCTTCATCTTTTTATCCACTTGGATTCAAACTATGGCTACCATAAGGGGGGGAAAAAATCAGGTAACCGTGGACTAGGATGATCCACCATTAATTGGTGTACACACCCTCTGATGGTGCATTCCAACCTTATCAAGCCACAACCCCCTCCTCTCAAACACACACAAAAACTCATGCACCTTGCAGGCACACAAAGACAAAGATCATGTATATTTATACATACAAATCGGAGATTTGCAGGATAATGTTAATCAGTACAAGGAGTTGTTAAACAAAAGGACTGTTACGAAGTAACTATTCAGGTCGTGCATGTATCAAATAAGAATGCCAACCATGGTCTTCCCTCCCTACTAAATATGATAGTCCATATCGATCAGATATCTAAGCGCATTCTGAAGATACATATAAACTTTGTAACATAAGATACCTAATAAAGAAAGAACTGGATCTTCAATATTACACATAGCTTATAAGTGAATCTTGAAATGACTCTTAGCACAAACATGCATATAAAATAGCCATAAAAACAGTAGATGTCATGGTATTGAAGCTAGATTACCAAATTATCACGAGATGCAACTTTAAATGACATCAGGAAAAATGATGTTCAGCTTTTTTGCTCAGAAAATCTGGCCTTGTTATACCTGAAATTTTGGGTCATCATTTTGCGCTAATGTATGCGCAAGCATATGAGCCTGCTGTGCTGCTGCTGCATTAGGTAGAGTCATAAGTGTTTTTTGACCATCAGAAGTACTCTGAAATTGTTCCTGTAAAAGAATGATCAAATGACAAGACAAAAAATGAGTTATTCATTGTGCACGACATTTATATATCTACATACCACCAACACTCGAAGTTTGTTCTTCTGGATAATCATCTTAAGATAAGCTTTTAACCATGTTAACAAGACCATGTTCATATCACTAAGAACTCATTTAAAAGGAAAATACAAATAACGTAGGTCACCTAATTGCATTCGCTTCACGAGGCAGTTGAAATCAGTGAGTCGAGATATTGGAAAAAGAGTGCCCATTCAATGGCTGATTTATTATGGGGAAAAAAATCAAGTAGTGACATGCATGACATTTCAGTGCACCACAGAATACTGATTCTCATCAGAACATATAGTTGCATTCTCAATTGATAAATCAAAACAAGGTGACAGAATCAACTGACAAATCAACTCAATAAATTATGGAGACCTTACATCTAAAGATTCTTATATAGAGCAGTACATTTGAAAATATAAAGAAACGACAAACAACAAAGTCTTCATTCCAAGACTTTGGATCAGCTAAGTACATCCTTTTCTCCAATTATCTCTTTTAAGACAAAAAGAAAGGGAAACTATATCCTTGAAAAACAAGTATTAGGAGAAGAGCTTTCTACAAATAGACTGTGAATGTGATTTTAAATTAGACTTGCTTAGGGAACATATTCTGTAAGAAATAAATTGTATCAGGAATGGACCACAACTATATAAAAGAAACCAGAAAAGGATCTCATTTCAAAATGGGAAGAAACACCAAAAAAATCAATCTTATGAGTGAGCTGCCAGCTACTGTTAAGGCCATGATATTATCTCTAGTCCTGATGCTATAGTGTCGAATATATGTTCTGCTTCAGGGACGTGTTACAGTAGAACATCAGGAAGACGGTAATTCTTTTAAAGGATACTGACAACACTACACAATAGACTAATCATCAAACTGAAAACCCAACAAGACCAATTACCTGCTCAAATTCAGAAGCCCATCCATTACTGCCATGCAGTTGCTCGAAAGAGTTAGCCCATGCCTCAGGATTATTACTTTCCCTCTGTTTACTAAATTCAGTAACCCATCTATCCGTAGGATGAGGCATACCAGGCCTCAAAGCACCCTGAGACTCAGTCCAGTACTCTTCTAGCTCTGGATACTGTCCACGTGGAGGCCCCCTCATCCGCTGATCGCCATCAATATCGAGAGAATGTAGCAATGCATTTACCTAGGGACACATATAAATTATATTGTATCAGCACAAAAAGAATGTTATCAGAGCTAGATCATGTCCAGTAACTAACATGATGATAAGTGGCTCAGAAGCAAAAAGAGTATCACATATAAAACAATAATTGGTTCACATAATGTGATTTCAGCATCTTATTATAAAACAGCTGGTGGGACTTGGAAATTCATCCTCATGACCAGGATATGTACAAGAGAGATTAGTTGAATCAGCTGCACAAAGACATCCTCGAACATTAAACCAACTATCCTGAACAATTCCCAGCAATCCAAAATAATTTGCTTGGGCAGACATAGAGAAAATATATGAATTAGTGACCAACCTGCGCATTGATGTAGTCTTCACTTTTATCAGCAAAAATATGACGAGCCATGATGCAACTACGATCACGTATGCATTGTTTGTCGCTTTCCGACAACCCAAGAGCTGGCAATGCTGCTGGACGAAATGGAACACCAGCACGACCGCTGTCCATAAAGGAATGAAGGAAACTAGACAAAACTCTTTGTGGTGGTCCTATGACAAGAAGGAATCAATCAATAATTAAGCATGATAGAAAATTATGAACTATATTACTCAAGTAATACCATGGAGAATAATATGCTGGAGACCGTGTGCTTATATTAAAGTTTCAAGAGAAGTTTCAAGAGACTCAAATAAATTACACAAATGCAATGAAGGAAAATGGTAAACAAAATCGATCATGTTGTACTATTATGCAAATAAGATGTATATCTTTTCAATTTGTTCAGACCATGGCTTCACATTGTCAATTAATTTATGGATTCACACGCAGGACCAGGCACAAGTGCAAATATATAGACACATTCATGTACACATACACACATTACTCAGACATGCACCAAATCTATCTGTGAGTGTATATGTGCATGTGTGGGCAAGTGCAGTTTAGAAGGTGCAATCCTAAAAATAGAGGCCAAGGTACCCCTCCCCACCATTTCTAAGGAAGTTGACTGTGCAAGACCAATAATGAATCAGAAAAACTTCTTGGTTTGTGCAATTATGTACCAAAGGCAATATTCTTTTCATGCCTTTCAATTAGCAAACTTTGAAGAGCACACTAATAGTTAAATCGTTATTTTTAGCTTTAGTCTCTTTGGGGAAAAAAGATAGAAAATTATATCATTGGGAATGAGCGATAGCAATGAAAAAAGGAACTTCTAATAAAATGTTCAAAAGAAGGATAGAACTGTAGTCTCCTAATAACGAGGTAGCCTCTGCAACACCCGTATTTTCAAGAAAAAAGTCCGCAGTAAGTCACACCAGATATTAACGAAGAGATATATAAAACAAAGAAAAGTGCCACAAGATAGCAGCTTCTTCAAACATTAGCTCACAGGAAAATTTCCGCTGAAGCAGAATTAATTTAACAAAATAAAGAGTAGTCAAAGCACAGTAAAAGCTTGGACAAAATCACTAACACATCCTTAAAAATATTAGTGAACTCTCAATTTTCCCCCAAAAGTATTAATTTGCCCATTTCCCCCTTAAACTATGTGCATGTGCCCAATGTGGTCATATTGTGAGCCAACAATCAAATATTTAATATGTCAACAACATGTCAGGGTTTTCCCCCCGCATTTTTCACGGTTTTTTGTCAGTTTGCCTCTTTTTCCCAACCAAAAAAAATCCCAACTACTTTCCTCCAAAGCTTTTTACCCTTAATCCCTTTCCTAGAATTCAAAGATCATTTTTTTTGAATTGCAGGAAAAACAGCTAAAAAATGACACATCAACGATCTGTTAAATATTTGATGATGTTAAATACCTTGACTGTGGCGCTGTGGGATAAGAAAATGACCATATTGGGCACATACACAAAGTTTAAGGGTGAAAATAGGCAAATTGATACCTTACGGAGGAAGTTGAGAATTCATCAATACTTTAAGGAGGATTTGGTCATTTTTGTCCTAAAAGTTTACTATCACCCTGCTGCAAACTCTCTGTCTAAGATTAACTCAAACAGGCACAATGAACCGTAATGTAAAATAAAACGCATAGAACAACGTCCAATATCCCACCATCAAATGTTGATTGAATACGAGAATTGGCTCCAGTGACATAAATCTGTTCAAATTCTGCAAAATGAGGTTCATTTCCCGTGAGCGGGGCATGGGGAAGAACAGAAGGTCGATGGACTTCATCCCAAGCATCTGCCAGATCCCCATGAACAGCAGGACGGAAGCCATTTAGGAATGCAGAGCTCTGTGAAAAGTTGATCCTTTTACAAAGGCCCAGAAGATCAAGTATGATATTAAAAATATAAACTTACCTGAGTATCGGGCTGCTGAAACTGTTGATTGTCATATTCTGACCCGGGAATAGTTGACAGAGGGGCTTCACCCCTAAAGTCTGAAGGCACAGGCACTGTAACAGTGGATCCAGGAAGACCCCTTATTTCCTGTAGGAGCCTAGGAGGGTTAAGATGATTATCACAGAATATGACAGGAGAAAATACAGTCAAGAAAGATGCTTGAAGAATAGTGAATGCATTCATGCATTTATTGCGCATAATGTAAGGCATACAAAATATTGATGGCCCCAAGCAATTCAGTTAGATGTAGAAAGATCAGTACAAGGTTCAAATATGATTTGAAAGAGATTACTGATAAAAATAACACTCATGTTATTTGGCTATCATCATCAAGCAACTCTTCTCCCATCATTCATTAACACAGCTTGGGTATTGAGCCGCACTCTTAACTAAAGAAGACTTGATGGAACGATTGACAAAATATGTTCGAACTACTATCAACTGGAGACATAATTTTTGAATCAGAGGCCATAACACCAGACAGGACATGGACATGCAACATGGATACGGCACCAACATACCAGCACAGAAACTCCTGAAGAATAGGACATGGCAAGGCAAAGACATGCTAATAGCAATTAATGTTTCCATGATTGTATTGAATATTATTAACAATAAACAATTACACATTTTTTTATTTTTTGGAATAAACTTCTCGCTCTTTTTTTACTAGTATACATAAATAACTTAAGTATACAATGTAGTGCTTCAATTCAGTATCACTTGTTATATATATATATAGAGAGAGAGAGAGAGATGATATATATATATATAGAGAGAGAGAGAGAGATGAGCTTATGTTAACTTAAGTGGATAGGAGGCATTGTCCACCAAACTTTAACTATGCCACGTAAGTGTTTGTGGCAGTATTGCCAAAACTTCATGATCTTTTTTCTTTTCTTCTTTTTCCCCCCCCATTTTGATGATTCAGGGGACTACAACTTACTCAAAGAAACTCCAACAGAATATGGCCATCCTATCAAGAAGACACCACCTTTCTAATTCAATTTTCAACAATTAAGATTAAAAATTCTCTAAATCATCTTTAATGTTTTATCAAATTATGGAATGATAAATTGTGTGGGTATTTGCATGCATATGAATATTTAAGTACACAGCATGTTTAGATGCACATCTCGGATGTAGTTGCATCTCATAGATACATTTTTGGACGTTTTCCATGTCCAACAATTGACATGCGGGAGCATCAATTAACATTCTTTGAGCATGTACAAACCAGTAAACTTGCTAGTTACATGAATTGTAAGATTAGAGTCGACAACCATGGATTTGCTCAAAAGTATTCGCAGTACATCGTTAATGTCAATGTTTGCAGTCAACAGGGGATATCATGTTCATTTATCAGAACTTCAATAGTCTTTACTGGCATATTTTTAAGCTACCAAACATTTTCTAGATTATGATTGTAAAAAGCAGCCATCCATCAACAAATTATACAATTAGAAATGTGAGACCAGTGGCGGACCCACCCTTGTTCAAAGTGGTTCACTTGAACCACCTCATACAAAAGTTCTCTATAGCCTAGTGGTATTGCAGTTGGTAACATTTTGTAAGAGGTCTGGAGTTCAAACCATCCAGCCTTTGAAAATTTCTCTTTTAGGCTTCTTTCCTTTTACCTCCCCTCTATTCTTCTTCTTCTTCTTCTTCTTCTTCTTCTTCTTCTTCTTCTTCTTCTTCTTCTTCTTCTTCTTCTTCTTCTTCTTCTTCTTCTTCTTCTTCTTCTTCTTCTTCTCCTTTCATTTTATCCCTTTGTTCTGTCTATCTCTTTAAGGCCTTCTATAAATATTTTTGTTTCTTATATATATAAGTCAAATCATTGTTTAAAAATGATTGTTTTTCTCTTTAATAACCCTTCCTTCATTTTTTTCCCACCTGCTATTATTTGAGAAAAAAATTTAGTGTATATTTTGAACCACCACCAAAAATGTTGTAGATCCGCCACTGTGTGAGACACCCCGGAAAATGATTAAAACTATACGATTAGAGATTAAAGGGTAGATGTTTTACTAAGAGTAAAGCTTTGGCCTTTGAGACAGTAGAAGCACTAAAAATATCCTGGCAGGCACTAGAAATAAGTTGCAAAATTGCGACTTTGAAGTATAATTCCAATATTTGTAATATTATTCTGAGATACTATTCCTTGAGTAAAGGAGCTTAATAAAGATTCTGAAAGTATATCTTCTCTATTTACAGAAAATATAGCTCAGACTCAGAAGAAAAGGGGCTTTCGCCATAAAAATGTCAATTGATTCATTTGATTGTGCAATACCTAAACTTCACAGAATCCTTACAACTAAAATTTCACCAAATTTATGAGAAATTTTCTTCAAATTCAGCAGGGAAAAGAAAGAGAGAAAGACCTGAGTCTTGGAGGAGGACTGAAAGAGAGCGCCAGCGAGAGCGCCCAAGGGATTCGAGGAGGAGGAGCTGCCAGGAACGGCGCAGGCGGCATGACCAGATCCCTCATCGCCATCTTCTCCGAAGCGAACCGGCGGTGACCAGACCGACTTCGTCTTTCTTTTCGTTTCCCCACACCTTTTTTTCCTTTCTTTTTCGGGGTTTTATTTTATGATTTATCGTCCTATTTTATTTTATTTTCCATCTCTTATTTATCTTTTTTTGGGTGTTTTTGTAGCCCATCCTCTTCCATGCCGATCAAGTCTGAACCCAATTAGACCTCTGGGCCACAGGCTAGAATGACTTCAACTTGAAGTACAAGCTGAGGTCGTCGTGTTATATTGTATAATTTTTATGAATTTTATCCTATTAGATCCGAATTTTTCTTATGACTTTTCTATGGGATCATCAAATTTTCATGTTTATAAATGATATTCTTAAACTTTCTATTCGTCTGGTGAAAGTGTTGTTTAAAAGGATTAGAGATTGTTTGTTATGTTGTAATTGTAAATGCAGAAAATGACATGTAACAACGTGTCCATTTCAAATCTGTCATTTAGATATTTACAATTATTTATGGATTGTTTGGTTGACAGTAATTACAGTATGCAAAAGGTAAGCATATCAACTATATTTATAATCATCGTATTCATTTTTCTGCTAAATTGTAATTAGAGAAGATAAGTGCATTAAAAATATAAAGCAGATGTCACCTCATTGAATAAAAGTTTCATATGCCAGCCTAGTAGGTCACATGGCGAAACCATGCTGCTCTTATGTGGGGAGCTTTTGATTCCCATATGCGTCAAAGTCGCAATAGTTATACTTATTGATGTTGTTGTTTTTGTGCACCAAATGCGTATTTTTCTCCAAAAAAAACCACAACTCGTAATATATTCATTAAATTTCCCAATAAAACACATATTTTATTTACAAACAAGTTTATCATATGAGACGTGTGTATCTATCGTGAGTCAATCGTGATGATTGGATGAGCATACCCTTTGGCTAACATTAGCTTTTGCAGCAGGACTATGAGATCCAAATAATCTTGCTGTCAATGCAAAAAGGCCACAACTCGTAATATATTTATTAAAATTTCCCAAAAAAACACGCATATTTTATTTATATATGCAAGTTTATTATATGAGACACATATATGTATCTGTCGGGGGTCAACTATGATGACTGGATGAGATTGCTCTTTGGCCAATAGTCGATATGTGATTACTTTATCAATTTTTTTGGATGAATCTGAGACGAACTTTAAATTTGAGGATTTTTGTTAAAAAAAGATTGAGTCCTTTTGATTGTGCAACAGTTTTTCCTTACAAGTCATGTGGCCAAATTCATTATTTGTCAAAAATAAAAAATACAGACAAATATATGATTATGGATGTAAATATAATAAAATATCAATATCCATTAGGATGCAGATATTGTTAATAAAATTTATAACTTGTAGAATATGATTATGGATGTAAATATAATGAAATATTCAAATCAATATCTGAATTATCGGAATATGTGACGGTCATAGTTTACAGTAATTTTAACCCTTACGCCTCGTTTGGTACGCGGGAATGAGGAGGAATGGAATGCAATTCCCACTTCCCATTCCCTCATACCAAACACACCTATATTTTAGATGTTGGAATGACCATTCCCTAGGAATGATCATTCCCACTATTTGTGGGAATGAGCATTCCAAGTGAGAAGATAAGGAATGGTCATTCCCATTCAAGTGAGAATCAAAAACTAGTTAGGTATTTTTCAATTATATCCATATTAATAATAAAGAATGTTTGGGTGAGGCGCTATGCAAGTGGGTAATTTTAGATTGACAATTTAGGCTAGTATATCATTTTGCTATTTCGAAACTTATTATTTTAGTTGGTATTGTTTTATGGATTTTTGCTATTATGAATTGAGTGATTTTGATACTTTATCAAATAAGTTAATTTATATATCTAGAACTGTGGATTGTGGATATCATTCTTTTTTTTGGACCTATGAAAGATACGATAATCTTTTTTTATTTTTCTTTAATTTTTAAGGCTAAGAAATAGCGAGTATTGTTTAAAAAATATAAACGAAACATACACCTGATGGATAACACGAGCATTAGTATAACACATACCTAGATTAATATAACATATGCGTATATAAAATTATTTAGTTATTATCATTAATGTTTATTTTTTATCTTATTAAAAATCTATGTTGTTGTAAGGGCATTATTAGAAAATGAGATTTCATTCTCACTTGTGTACTAGTGATACCAAACATGAGAATGAGAATGAGATTTCCATTCTAGCTTCATTCTACGAATGCACCCAAACAAAAGAATGAGAATGACCATTCCATTCTCACTTGCAATCCATTCCATTCTTTCTTCCATTCCATTCTCAAGTCTGTCCATTCCCGCGTACCAAACGAGGCGTTAGATTATTGATTTGAGATAGATTTTGGTAAAATATATTCATACACATATCCGTATTTGTATATGTGATTAATAAGTGAATACGAATACGACAAGTGTAGTACCCGAATCATTTGCACCATAGGAATATCCATATTTTTTGCATCCGCGGATCGCAACAAAAACAGGGGCAATTTTCGGGCCGGGTAAAGCGGGTAACGGGTTTCG